CATGATCGGTAGTGTCAGTCAGAATATATTGGCCTATAGAGTGTATGGAAGATTGCAAATTGGAATGTAAGAATAAATATAGAGAGCATAATTTAAGAAATGAAACAAATGAAAGGAAAATAGATGTGTATTTATGGAATTAAGAGGAAAGATGTATCAGATCTGAATGAAGATGATCTCATCATATGAACTGAAGTTGTATGTTTAAGTATGAATTGAAAGGGCTAACATGTTAGGAAGTGTGGTGTCATCTAGAGGGCTGTAGGTTTATATGAAGGTAGAAAGTAGGAACCCATAGGTTGATTGTAGCTGCATATTATAATTCAGTGAACGCTGATAATGGAGAACTAGGATGGGGTTTGGTTAATATTGTACAGTGTTCTGCATGAAAGCCATCCAGGGGATGATCTAATTTTGTTAGAAGACCTGAATGAGTGGGAGGGAACAAGGCAAGGAAGTAAAGAAAAAGTGACTGGACTACTCAGACTCCAAATGAATGAGAATGGCAACTGATGAATATCTGTTTACAAAAAAATAAACATTAAGTCTATTCAGATGTATGAAAAAAATGAAAAGCATGACTGATTATGATGAAAGACTGAGAGAATGAGTGAAGGGTACAAGGGTAGTGAGAAGTTGTGAATGTGGGGCAGACCTGTATTAGGTAGTGTCAAGAATGGATCCTGGGAAATAATGGACATGGAAGAAAAATAAGTGAAAGTCAAATGAAGGAAGAGAAAGTACATGTCCTAAATAGAAAAGTGTTAACAAAGAGATTGATTTCCCAACAGAATGAATAGAGAATGGTGAAATTAAAAAAAAAAATCTAGGAAATGCCTTATGTCCAGCAAGAATATGCACAACAGATTTTTTTCTCTATAGCAGGTCACTATGAATATGAGAAATGCTTACTATATGATGATTTAGAGAACACATATAATAAAATGAATAGGTTTAAATTATGGAATATTTTGCACAAACATGGAATGACAGCTGGTTGCGGAATATAGTAGTAGTATATAACAAAAATAAAGCATGCATGAGAATAATAAAGTACTTAAAAGTAGTTCAATGTTAAACAAGAAATAAGACAAGGATGTGTGATGATCCCTTAGTTGTTTAATGCATTTATATATAAATGTGGTGAAGTTAGAGATGCGTTGGCTGAGGGCATGAATGTGCATGGACTTTTATCTGCAGATGATGCTGTGTTGTTGACTAAGAACTTGAATGATTTGCAGGAATCAATCAATAAATTGTATGGTGCAATCAGGAATATGGAACTGAAAATTAATCTATCAGAGACCTAATAGTTAGATTTGACAGGAGAAATGGAATGAAATATTATGAGTTATACAGAGCAAGTAGATGAACTTGTGTATCTTTGTGGAAGTTTTATTAAAGATAGAGATATTTTAAGATGTGCAAATGCTGGTAAAAAGGTAAAGAGTAATATGTGGTCTATTGTGAGAAATGAATGTTGAAAAAAGCAAAAATGTACACTTCTGCCCAATTATATGGTAGTGAGAGATAGGTGTATCAGGAGAAACATAAAAGAATGCAGTGGAAATGAAATATTTAAGAACTATGTATAGTAAAACAGTAAGAGAGTCAAGAAGGAGTAACTGGTAAATAAATATGGGGTGAATACAAAATGAGCAAGCAGTACAAATAAATACAGTGAGGTGGTTTGGTTATATAGAGGGGATGAATGAGGATTAAATCACAAAATAAATATATATAACAAGAATGAATGGGCTGAGAGGAAGGAGAAGACCATGAAAGTTGCGGTTAGATAGAATTGATGAGAACTGAAAAATTTAAAAAACAAAACACAATGTATGAATCAGTGATGAAGTAGAAGCAAAAATGGTGTATAATACAAATTTTATAGATAGAAAAATAAGATAAAATAGAAATTTTTTTATCTCATGCCTTTAATTTATTTTTCTTACTACTCGTCTTCTTCTGTGCTTTTGCACAATATTGCTTAACCCAGATAATTGCTGATGGTTATGTATATATGTAAAACTACCCATATGGGAGCTAATGAGAACCACTTCCCTTCCCAAGTAAAGTTTGTAACTCAAAAGTATACCAGCAAATACCCTTTTATTACATTTGTTAAATTTGCCATACTATAATCTTAAGACTATTTCCATGAACATAAAGATCAGTATGAAAGTAATGGTTTGAGCATAAGTCAGCTTCAATTTTGAAAACAAAAGTAGTATTTTTCACATACTTCAGTTTTTACACAATTACTTCCTCAACAAAAAACAAACAAAATTATTTTCAAGTTTTTCCCCATTGCACTTGTTACCACCAGAATTACATGAAGGACTTTACAATACAAAATTACAAAGAGGGGCAGAATCTAACTAGTACAAAACAGATGAGGACTACGTAAGTCTTGAAGTGAAATGTACTGAGTACTCAATGAAGAATTTCAACCTGTAGCTTCTGGTGAGCTTTTCAACATTTATATGGATTTGTTTTTCTTTTCCTGAAAGTGTCCATTGTTTAAGAGGAGAATATTAGTAGTATCCTGGAAACAAGACAAGGACAGACTTATTTTGCAGTTCAAGGATTGTCATAAAAGGGAGTCAAGATCTGTGCACTGTGCTTTAACCAGCGGCATTTTGAGATCATACAGGGAGAAAGGGCAAGTAGAAATATAGCATTTTAACTTATATGCATGTCGAAACAATAAAGCATTTCAAAATAAACTCCCCCAAGTCATTTGAGATCCAATTACAATGTTAAGATGAAATCAGTGTTACTTGTAAGATAAATCCACCTAGCTGTTTTAGAAATATGAAAACAATTCAATAGGTTCATAAAACAAACATTATTTTGAGAAGAAGTGACAACCAAGACAGCTGCTGCCCTTGGCCTGGAGGCTTGTGAGAGGATAATACATTTCTATCAGCATCTAGTGGCTGATTATGCCCATAGCACTTGCCTGTAAATATTCCTGCCTTAATTTCTACAACAGAGATGGGCAACTCCCACCATCCCAAACAATTAGCCATGTTGGCTGGGCTGATGGGAACTGTTTGATAACATCTGAAAGGACACTTGGGCCCATCCCTCTTCTAGAAGTAAAAAAATGATTCTGAACATCCCTGTCATATATTCTGGTTTATTCAACAGAGGAGCAACACCCAAACACAGTCCTGGGAAGAACAGAAAGAAAGTATCTCATCTGCAGAAGAATAAAACTAAGGTTCACTTTGATTCATATGACTAAGACTAGGACACGCGTCTACCTGCTTTAGCCTTCATTTTCACTATTTGGCTAATCAGCAGCATCCTTTCTAAAGAGATGCTTTTCCTAAAGAGATGGCTGACAAAGAGGTATTTGAGAATGTAACGTACTAGCCAGTTGTTCAAAGTAAAGCACCTTTGCTTTGAGACCCAAGTAGCTAAATCCAGGACTTTCAAAGGCTGGCTGCAGTAGCATACTGTGCAAATGTTGCAGTTTGTTCTCATACATCAATTGCATCCCTCTTTTTATATTGTTAAATGAATCGTAAGAACATGAACATTATCACCATAGCTTGAACGAGTTCCAGCAGAAAATATCAAACTGCTTATCACAGTGCACATATTTCATAAAACATGTTCATGATGTCCCAAATGGTAACAGTTTTCCAGAATGGGGAAGCTACCAGATTGCCTTTATACCTGCTAAAGCCTCCCCGATCCACCTCTTTGTGAGGTGGCACCCAAGTTTACCACGCTTCGTTTGAAGTTCCACTGCGGAAAGAGCACTACTTCTATGGTTAGTTGTAAACACTTTCCTCAAAAGAGATTAAGTGGCATCTTTTCCAACAGGATTCTCACACGAGAAAATATTGAAAATTACAAAATGAGGGAGGGTTAAACTTGCAAATCAAGAAAATAACCCTCTTAGCCCTTCACTGATTACTCAGGATCAAAGTTTTTTCTCTCTTAGTTTATTCTTCATGTGCTCATTTACCAGTACAGATTGTCCATCACCATTGCTTAAATACTTGTCCTTTCCGAACTTATGTTCTTGCTTTTGCCTTCTTATCTCCTTATACCGTAAGGTGATGTCACTAAAACAAACAAACAAACAAGTTAAGAATTGTAACTTTTTCTTAAAAAAAAAAGCAATAAACCTCTGTGGCTCCTTTCATTTCTCTCAAATAATTATAAACTAAACTCTGAGAATATCAAGCATTTCTTAATTCTGTAAACAAAGTGCTATAAGGTTTAAACAGCCTTCCAAATAAACTAACTGGGAGTTGATCCACACTGCCCCTCCCCAACTCTTTTGAGACTTCTTAACAGAAGGTGGAAATGTCTGGGCAGCACTTCAGATCTGATCTCCAAAAAGTGTTCCAAAGCAGGCAGCAGTATGAATGTAGCATCCCTCTGCAATACCTTGAAGCAGCTATACCTTTTCTTGGAATCCAGTGCTGCTACATGATCCTAATAAAAAATTGCAATTCTCTTAAGGTTTTTCAGAAAGCCATTATGTTCATACTCCTGCATGCCTCAAGGCACCGTCTGGAAACTGAATCCAAAGTGCTACATAACCCTATTATGATTCCTATATATTCCACTGTGAATATGGTAACATGAAGAGGGGAGAGGGAGAGAATGAACTTGAAAATAGAGTACAAGGAGTTTGCAGGTTCTACTGTTTGTCCAGGTGAACACAGAGGAATTGATTGGGATCTCACTTTCAGCTGCTCTCTACCTAGTATAGGGGAGTAAAAGAAAGTTAGAGCAGTCCTCCTTTCTCAGAAGTGGGGAATATATTTATAAAAGACGACCTAGCCAGATGGAGTACATTCTGCCAAACAGAACCTCATAACATAGAGTTTGTGGTGGGATTCCTCTCTGTTCCATTTCTCTATTTCAGTTAGAAATAGCAAGAAATCTTCTGGATTAGAAATTTCATTTTGGAAGTTAGTACAGTACAGCATACTACTGCTTCTGTCTTCTTTGGATCTAATGAGGACAGACAGCGTGCTTCTTTCAGAATTACAGGGCAACTGTGACAAGTGGCTACAATTAAGGCTCTACCAAAGGCCTGTAAACAAAAGTTTATTTGACAATCAACAAGAAAGTGAGTTTATATTAGTGAGTCTCTCAACTTTGGTGTTTTGAAAATATGGATGTTTGTATGTTTAATAACTTTTACGATAGAATTTTAAAATTCCCATACAAACAGTCTAAAGACTACAGGCCTAGCTAGTGCAGTCAGGATTCAAATTCTTCTTACTGAATGAAAAAGCGCCAAACCGTCCAGGCAAGCACAAGCATGATTCCAAGGATCCAGCACTGAGTAATGTAGAAAGGAAGTGACAGTGTTAAAGTGTAGGGATCATATTTTATTACTATAAGGAACTCCGTAGCTGTGATAGCAGCAACCAGCCAAGCTTGCTGACCCAACTTCTTATGAAATTTCCTGCAATAAGACAAAAGTATTAGAATATAGGTACAAGATAAATCTGTACTCAAAATGTTATTTGCAAGGCAAAAACAGAATATGCGTTACTCTTGAAAATGAGATTAAATTGGATTACTCCAGTTAATATCCATTTCATGCAGTTAGTATTATCAAAATGTTATCTTGAAATGCTTCTCTATACAGTATAGCTGAAGCACCTACTTTTCAGACACTGCCCCCAAACTCTAACCCTATAATACAAATATTGATCAGAATGGTAACCCAAAGTTCTACGTTGATGAGACGTTTCATATACATACAGTAAATTCTCAGATTAACAGACCTTGTTCTAGTGGTTTGGTTACAATGGGCATTTCATTCCAAAAACATTTGAAAACAACAAGCTTATCTGTACTTGGGGAAATTGTCTGTACAGTGGCTGTGGCTTCTCCTGCAAAATCGGTATGCTTTTGTGTGGTTTCACGGTTGAATGAAACCATGAGGGAGGCAGGAGGGACAATGCTAGGAAGACTGAGCAGGATATGTGCATATCGGCATACATTTTATTGTGCTTCGCTTTATTGTGCTTCGCAGATATTGCAGTTTTTTTTACAAACTGAAGGTTTGTGGCAACCCTGCATCAAGCATGTCTATCAGTGCCATTTTTCCAACAGCATTTGCTCACTTCGTGTATCTGTGCCACATTTTGGTATATAATTAAGATATGTATATTGTCTTTTTAGATATAATATTGTTGCACACTTAACAGAGTACAGTATAGTGTAAACATAACTTTTATGTGCACTGGGAAACCAAAACATTTGTGAGACTCACTTTATTGTGATATTCACTTTATTGCGATGGTTTGGAACTGAGCCTGCAATATCTCCAAGGTATGCCTGTACTTCATACCAGAGATCTTGGTGAGGGGAGAAGGCAAGGAGGGGAGACACTGCAAATATCTGTCGGATGGGCGGACAGTGTGCTGGAGCAGCAGCTCAGTCAAGGTAGGGAGGCTGGGAAGGTGCTCAGAAGTTTGAATGAGCAGGGTGGTGACTGGTGGGAGAAAAACGGTGCTGGGAAGATGGAGTAGATGTGCTGGCTGGTGGATATATGCTAGGATAACAGCTTTGGGAATCCCTTTCCCCGGTCTGGCTCCTGCCACAACCTATGCTTCTTTGCTGACAACAGCTGGAGAAAAGCGATTCCTTCCCTAAAGCTAGCAGAGGGAATGATGCTTCATAGAGGGCTGTTTCTAAGTGCCTGTGGTCAGTCTCTAGGAAAAGAAAGAAAGAAAGAAAAAAACAATACTGGGGGTGGGAGGAGACTTTCAGATTTAACAGATATTTGGGTTTAATAGACACTTCCTCCTTGAACAGTCTGTTAAATCAAAGTTTCACTGTATTGCAATATTATTACATTATAACTTAGCTACAGGAAATTTCAGTATTATATAATAAGTTGCTGCTCTCATTTCTACTTTTTTAATAAAGATAAATTATAGCAATTTTGCATGGTTAATTATCTATAAACAAAGAAAGAATCTTGGCAGATCATTTTGCTATACTTACAAAGCAGAATTATGACAAATTCTGGTAAACTCTGAAGTGACAGCTGTAACAAAATTCTTAAAATCAAGTATTTGGGGTACCTGTTTTCACATCTAGTACCTAGTAGTTTTATACCAATTACTCGTAGAGTATCTAGCTTCTGTTGTTTTAAACTTAATACCCTGGAAAAATCTACATGAGAGAATGCTGGAAACAATAGCAACTGCTACAGCAAGGAATCTTAATCCTATAACTGTTAATCTATTTCCTAGCATAAAAAAAACCTGCTGAACTGGATTGTCACACTTTTCTAAGTATGACCCTGTATTCTATTTCCCCAGCCAAATACTGGCCCTAATGGTGGGGGTATTCTTTTATCACTCTTATTCCAGCAGCTATATGCAACACAGAGAACAAGCCACAGGGTGCAAAAAAGTATGACTCATTGGCATTCCTTTTATAATCCCCAGAGCCCACCCAGAGTGGATAAAGCCAAGGCCTTGGGCCCCTGTCTTGTACATTTTTCAAAAAGTGTGGTTTGAAGGAGAAAAAAACCAGACGCTTGAAATATACATTTCTCCCCTTAAAAATGTCTGAACCCCACTTCCAAAATGACCCCTGGCCCACTGCTCTCAACATATCATGCAAAGCCTGATTTGGCCCTGAAACTGACAGAAAAGTACTTTTAATGTGCAATATGAAATCACCAAATGATAAAAATCACTAAAAGGTCTTCAGTTAAAAAGCCACTCCTTATCTCTAGCTGCAGAGGGGACTGCCCACACAATCTCTCTGTAGATCATTCTACAAATCCAATTATGATGTGTCACAAGCAGAATAGGAACAAGAGTTTTCACTGATTTAAAATAGGCTGCAAAAGAGGTAGTTTGTGATTGATCAGCCATGCTACAGAAGGAAAATCACTCAGCAGCTGGTCTACTCACAACTGAATGCCCAGAAAGAGCAGGACATTCCTCAAGATTGCAAGGGATCTCCTTGCCTAATTATTCACAATTCAGGGTATGTTCCCACAATCTTTACATTTTATTTATGATTTATCCTCAACCTGTTTTAGGCTTTGGATGAAGCAGGTTTGCCAGGTTACTTTCCAAATACTATTATACAGTATAATTCTACAAGTCCAAGTTCCTCCTTGGGAGCCTTGCCAGGAACTCCAAAAGTCAGTTCCAGTGTTTCTTCATTGACATATCTTCTCTAGTGGTCCTTTAGTTAGGAGGAAGACTCCCAGAACAGTACCTCTTCTTGTTTTTCTTCTTCCCAAGGGTTAGAAATGTTGCACACAATAATGCAAATAATTTCCTATATTTCCCCAATCCAATTTTCCATCTTTTTTTCCAGATTTCAATGCATCATAAATTACAAAAACTTAATTATGGTAACCATAGATATGCATGAAATAACTACTGGGGCAGGGATGAAGAGCAGCATGGTAGTGAAAAGGAATTAAAAAATTATTTAAGACTGAAGAGGTAGCAATGTATTATGTCAAAGTGTTTGCCTGAGAAAACAAAGGGACTGAATAGCAACAATGGGGTGCCTGGACCTTCACTTTCCTGCTCTTTTCATGCAACAAGACAGACATTTACCAAGAGCCAGGCGACTGGAAGAGGAAAGCTGCTGTTCACAATTGCACTTAGGCTACCAAGAAGTTCCTTCTCCTTCCAGCAGCTTCTTCTCCTATAAAAGCTAGTTATAAACATTACTACAGAGTACATGAATTGTACAATCTTAAGATGCCTATTTAGTTTATTTGGAAACTTCAGAATGTTTTAAGCCTTATATTTGTTCTCTCCAGATTTTTCTGGGCTGACTTATATACTGTTGAATTACATTTTCCTATTTCTCTGGATTTTTCCCTCTAACAATTGGCAAGGTTATGAAATGATGCAGCAAAAGCTACTAATCTTTCACTCCTACAGAGTATGCAATAAGGAATCCATTAATTCAAGAAGTGACTATAAAAATGTTATTGCTTTGCAGCCAATGTGGTCATGCAAAATCCTTATGGTAAATTCATTAAAGAAACTTATTCAATCAGACTTTAAGATTAAAATTTTTAATTTATAATTGTGTAATTGTCCTTGAGAACCAGATGCCAATGTATAATTACTTAGAATGGTAGAATTAACTATATTGAGTCACATATGGATACTGACAAGGTGTGCTTGAAGATGGCATTTACTACATAGCAATTTCAGAATTTCTTAGGTTAAACTTAAAAAGTGATTTATTTAATCTTGATTACGCAAAGATAGATAATTTTCACAAACTGAAACCAATACAGGAGCACTGGGTTTTCACATACAAAGACAAACCACAGATCAAATATAAAGTCCTAAACAAATATATCCCTCCAAGAAATTAATATTTCACTTTCATATATCTTTAGTCTTGTTTGTCAATCATCAAGTTCTCAGGCTCCAAACCAAGTTTTCTCATAATTTTGGTGGCATCACCAGTGCCAAATGCTTTTTGCCTGGAAGTATACCCTATTTTGCTGCCATCTTCACACTATAATTCTGAGGTTTCCAGAGCCTTCTTGTAGAAACAGATAAAGACATTCAAAAATGTTTCATTATGTAAGTTATTGTGAAATTTCATAGAGGCCTTGCTCTTCTTGCTACTGGTGACTGTGTTTAAGAAGTAATGGACTGTTGATGGATGAAGTATGAGTTTCTTGTCATACTGAGAGCACTTTTAAAGTCTATTCCACATGCCATAAATAGAACAACCATTATTGGTAAGTCTTAGGTAAAGTATTGTCCAGAGCAGAGGATGCATGAAAATGCTACTGGCTAATTCAAACACCCCCTACAAAGGGAAATTTGTCAGAGAAAACCAAAATATCCTTATCCTTGTAGCAGAAAGATCACAAAACAAGAAGATTCTTGCACTTTGGTTCAAGAAACTGCTTATTTGGGCTTACACACTTCTAATGACACTAAAGATGGAAAATGTATGAGAATTACTGGTAAAACATTACAGGAGGAACATATACAAATTAGTTACATCAGGCAATGAATTTACTTTGCTTTAACTGTACAGCTTTATTGTTGCATGGCAACAGCATATACGCACAATGGTGAAATTTTGCAGAGAATTCAATGAGCATTTTAGCATCTGAAATAAAATGCTTCCAGCAGTCTTGTTAAAAAGTTTTTCTGGCAAATTAATCTTACTTATATTTAAAAGAAGTTAGATAAATCTTTTAGCTGCCTAACAAAATGGTGTAGTAGAATGGAAGAAAAAGTCTTTGTTAACCTTCAAAAATACTCAGAGACAGAAAGATGCCTTTATATATGTTTTACAAAGGAACAGTTCTGTAGACAGTTTGCTTTTAACTTCCTCCCACTGAGAAGTGTAGGAGTGAAGAGATTCTTCTTACGTTCATGCAGAAATTGAAACTTCGGTGGAATTGGGAAATGCTGACAAGTCACTTTCTTTATAATAGAAGTTAAGAAAGTTAGGAAATTGTTAACCATTGGATCATTTTTTGGATTTTTCCCCTTGGTTTCTGTTTCTTCTGTTAGCAAAGAATGGCAACATAGTGAATTGGTAATGAGGCATTGGTGACTGATGAAACTCCCCTGTTCCAATGCTATGCCATGTGGTTGAACAGAGGGCAGAAGAATATAAGACAGATGCTTTTTCACCTCAAACACAAGGACCAGAAGATGGGCCAGGATGCTGAGGAAAGGAGCTCTTTAATAAGAAATGAGACCTCTTCTTACTTTGAAGCAGGAAGTCTATTCCATATCACTGGGTCCAACACAAGGGGGCAGGGAATGGCCTGAATGCCATTGCTCAGTATCCTGAAATCCAACTAAAGTACCTTTAGCCCGTCTTCCCAGCTCTTGGAGTCAAAGACTTGCAAGTGATACTATCTTAATAAAGTATTGGAACCCTAGATACTAAACACAGACACTTTTCTGATAGTCAGAGGTGAAAGAGTATGCTGAAAAGTTGTGGGGTCAACCAGTTTGCTTCATTTTCACCAAATTTAAAACAAAAGTACAACAAAACAAAAACCAACTAGATGGATCTGATTCTAATGTTTGATAAACAAAAGAAACAGAAATAACAAATCATAAGCAGGCAGGTGTTTAGTTCATGCATTGCTTAGTGAGGGCATACTGTTGCAAAATATGAATAATGCACTGAAAAATAGCGCCATTACAGTTAAAGGACTGTTAGAAAACCAAGACTGAAAAAATCTTTAGGCTAATCCAGATATAACAACATTCTCAGGCTATGGCACGGCTTTTAAAACTCTATCCAAAATTATCCTATGTGAAAACTAATTGTATTCAAACTAGTCTGAATCACAAACTTCATAACAGGTGGTTCTGTACTACTATATATTTGAAAACTGCATCCAGCAAAGTGATGTTGCAGTAATGCAAAAATGTTAATTTGTCAATCATTATATATCTGATGCCTGAAAAGAAAGTACTATGGTTTTCTTTGAAGGAACAGATGGATTCATTCATTATTTTGATATGTTTCTCAACAAATTGCAGGAATTCTCCCCAGTCATAAAAATAAAGCAACTGAGTTTGAATAAGAGAAATAACTTACGGATCATCCATGAAATCATAGATCTCTCTCATGGCTACTCCTCCCACATTCACATAAAAGACAAGTCGCAGCAGGACCAAGTAGTGTTCTGGAGGCATCCATAGGACAAATTTCAAGTAAAATGTGTTCAACTCTGCCAATAAAAACTGACACATTCCATTCAATCATTTAGGAATTTCCTGTTATTCAAACCTAAAATATGTCACAATTCTTCAAAGTGTATAAATTTGAGTGTGTGAAATGTCTTGCCAAAGTGATACAGTGGTACCTCGGGATACGAACGCCTCTACTAACAAACTTTTCGGGTTACGACCAGCTCCGGCCGCAAAAATTTACCTCGATGTGCGAACTCTGCCTTGGGGTACGGTCATTTTTCCGCCCTGACACGTAGTCCGCGGCCATTTTCCCGCCCCTGACACGTGGCCCGCGGCCATTTTCCCACCCCTGACACATGGTCCGCGGGCATTTTCCCACCCTGCCGCGTGGCGCCCAGCTGTTTTCCCGCTGCGCGGTGTGGCCCCCGGCCATTTTCCCGTGGCGCAGCACCCAGCCGTTTTCCTGCCGCCCCGCGCAGCATCCGGCCATTTTCCCGCCCCTGACACGTGGTCCGCGGCCATTTTCCCGCCCCTGACACGTGGTCCGCGGCCATTTTCCCACCCCCGACACAT